TTTGCCAGATGTTCCTTAGACAATGGATTACTGTTGAAAATATATAAAGAACTCAAAAATTCAGACCTCCCAAATTTAAAGACCCAATCCAAAAATAAGACATCTGAGATGCATACATACTTCTCAAATGAAGACATAGAAACAGCAAATAAATATATGAAAAAATGTTCAATGTCACTGGTCATTCTAGAGGTGCAAATTAAAACAACACTGAGGTTCCATCTCATCCCTAAGACAAGCTATTATCAAGAAATAAACCAATGACAAATGCTGGAGGGGTTGGGGAAAAAGAGCCCTTCTCCACTGTTGGTGGAGAGTTTGTACAACCATTGTGGAAATCAGTGTGGAGATTCCGCAAAAGACTAGGATTAGAGGTGAAGGATTAAAAACATCATACCACAGCAATATCCATGCAGCTATATTTATAGCAGCATGATTTATAATAGCTAGATCTTGGAAATAACCCAAATGCCCATCAACTGAGGAATGCATAAAACAGATGTGGTCTTTCTACTCGGCCACAAAGAAGAATAAACTGGAGATTGCTAAAGGTAAATGGATGAGACTCAAGACCACACTCAAGTGAAATAAACCAGACACACACGTGCAAACATCCTAATATTGTCTTCCTAGTGTGAGAAGCTAAAAGGACAAGATCCAAAATGTACAATAGACAGTAAACCAGAGACAAACTGTTCAATAAGAAAGAGAAACTGGGATGATACAAAGGAGAAAAGAAAAAAAATTAAGATAGTTACACTGTAGGCAGCTGAATTAGATAGAAATATTCTAGGCAGTTAGACAGGGCCAGGCCCTCAAGGAGACAGGATGGAAGACAAGGTGACTTTGCAGCTTGGAAGAGACAGACGCTCCCACATGGGCCACACCTCAAGACCAAGACAAAAAGAGGAAGCACAGCTACATACTTCCCTAGGGATGGGCGTCAGGGATTGATATCCTAAATAGTATCAATCAACTTGAAAGAGCCCAAATGAGTCACTAGCCCAACCCTCAACAGGAAGAGACCCTGTTCCGTATTCATGCCTGCTTGTTCAGTGACTCGCTTCCCCATTTGGTCCTGGATTCAATCAATTTTACCTGAGCAATGGTGCTTGTAATCCCATTGGCTGACCATAGTTTTGTCCCACCTAAGTGAGTTCCTGTCTTCTCCACCACCTTAGATCTGCCTCACCACGTGGCTTTACTCTATAAAATCCTGGAAGAGACAGCTCCCTGGGGACAATCCACTCGGAGCCCCCCCTTTTGTCCCTCTCTCGGACAAGAGCTTTTTTCCCCTCAACAAATAACTTCTGCTCCTGACCTCAGTTTGTTCCTAAAATTCATTCTTTGGTTTTAGAGAACACGAGCTCGTCCCAGGTACCTTTTAGGTTGAGAGATCATTTTTCTCCCTGTATCACTTGGAGGTCATCCAATGGAGATCAGTTTTTCTCCCTGTGTCAGTTATATTACTAATTTCTCTTAGTTCACTGAACGGAAAGATGTGTGCTAATACTGCTTGGACCATTGTTACCCTCCTATTAACTTTTTTTTTTTTTTTGCGGAACCAGGGATTGAACTCAGGCCCTGGTGCTCACCAGGGAAGCACTTATTCCACTGAGCCATCTCCCTGGCCTCCTACTATTAACTTCTAAAATTTTGTTTTACTATCTTTTTCCTCCTTAAAATTAAAAAAAAAAATTGCATTCCATTTATCTAGCTATTCCCCTTCCTGGTGTCTCGCTGAAAGAAATGAACATTTATCAGTGACAATTGCAACCGGTGTTCTGGGCAGCACGAGTCATCGCGGCCGCTGAGCAGCCCGCACGGCCGTGTCCAGCGGCACAGGCCAGGCGGTGGGCAGCGTGCACGCCCCGGAGTGCTGCCCTGCCGTGAAGTGTCAGCCTGGGCTCTGTGGGGCGGCGGCCGCAGCCTGAGACCACCACGTTAGGTAGGCAGACACACAAGCTTAGGTATCACATGGTTTCTTACAGGAGAAACAATGTAAAATACAAAAGAGAGGGCCGGGGAGATGGCTCAGCAGAATAAGCACTTCTCTGGCAAGCACAAGGGTCTGAGTTCAATCCTTGGTTCCGTCAAAAGAAAAAAAAAGAGAAAAGAAAAATGGACGAGAGAAAAAAAATACTGAAATCCAGCATGGACAATGTATCTAAAAGTGTACCTTGATTTACTGTAATTGTCCTGTGTGTCGCACATGTTCTCTGGCCTTTCTGGTCTGATATTTAGTCTCTGCATTATGAGACAGTTAATGTCAGTAACAGGTTTTCTCCACCTTATTACAGAAATTCTGCCAAGTCACCATGGCGCTGAGCCGATATGGCCGGCCGCTGTGTTACAACCTGACTATGCGCCGTTCTAAACGCTGTAACTTTCCGCGGTGCCCATTCTCTAGGTGAGAGCCTGCACTTGGGCCTTTCTCACGCTGTCCTCTGTGTGCACCCGAATCTAGATCTGGCCCAACGTCCTGTTCTTGCCATCGTTCCCAGGCACAAACTTTACCCAACCACCCAACCTGTTACTGTTCTTGAAGACAGGTAATTTTTCCACTGCAGCCTCTAGTTGAAGCCCTGATGTCTCCCTTTTGTGGTTTGTCGCCTTAAATACCCACTCCCTGCATCCTCCTGGCGCTTGCAGGGGTGGTCGCTGCTGAGTACCAGCTAAAATAAAGCGCATCTTATCTTTTCAAGCCTGCCTCATTTTTGAGTTACAAACACTGGAGGCCATGTCTGGCCTCCACCTTCCTCCCCGGGTCAAATTACAATTTCCTAGCTCCTTTTCACAATATCCTGTCTCCTTGTTTCTACCTCCTGCCCAATCCCTATCTGCCACGTTAGACAGACTGTCCCTGAACCGCAGGTCTTCAGTAGCCTTTGGCACCCCTCTCCACAGCCCTGGCCCTCGGAAGCCCCTCTTCTCTCCTTTCCTGTAGTCTTCCCTGCGCCCACAATAAAAGGCTCTTTTATCTTTCCTGTCTCTTTACTGAGCCCAAAAATCTAACAATAGGGATTTATAAAATGAATCTGGGACCGGCCAAATAGCTCAGCGGATTAAAGCACCTGCTTAGGCAGACGGAGCAGCCGGGTTCGATCCCTGGCAGGCCAGGCTGGCCCCGCTCCCGGGGCACGCTGAGCTGGTGATTGAGACTTGGCGCGGTGGCGTGTGCCCATAATTCCAGCTCTCTGGGAGGCTGGACACAGAAGAATCACTAAGAGACGGATCTACGTCATAGTGAGACCATGTAGACGCTTACTAAAATATTAAAAAAAAAAAAAAAAAGAATCTGATGCTGGCCTGGAAGGTGGGTAGAGGGAAACAGCAAGCAAGGACTGAGATGTATTATGTGCAGGTACTGATTCCCCACCACAAAGGAAAACTTTAAAAAGAAAATGGGTGATTTGATAACATATATGAATAAGCATTTAACTAGAAGCCACATAAGAATTATGATAAGAAATGTAGTGACTTTTTTTTGGTACTGGGAATCAAACTCAGGATCTTGTGCTTACCAGGCAGGCACTGATCCACTAAGCTATATCCCTGGCCCTAATATTTAATTTTTAAAAATTATTATAGTAAAAGACCATGTTGCCATCTGTCACCCTCTGAATGTTCCACTTCAAGCACAGTAATCCCGTGGCTCTTGCCGCTTTCCGTAGCTGTGCTGGAGTCCTTTCCAGGGTGTTGCGAACGTTCCTGTCTAGATGTTCCCAAAGCCTCTGTGCTTGCAGGCACGGCTTTTCAGGGCTGGCTGGATCTACGGTGTGTGAATGTGGATTCCGAGTGTGACAGCTACATCAGTTGCTGAGCGGTTTAGCACAGCTCTGCCAGTGGAGGACGGGCACCCCACCCTGGCATGGGTGGCACTACCCCAAAATCCTACAGTCTGGACAGAGGGGAAGGGGAGGCTTGTCCCTGCTCCACCCTACCCACTGCCCTGCCTTGGAGCCAGCTGACCACGCAGTGAACCCTCTGCAAACTGAGTTAAAATACACCTTCTCTACTTTAACTTGTGGGTGTCGGGCACGGCGTCCCAGCAGTGGAGGCCAAGTGCCTTCCGCTGCACCATCGTGGCTGCCTTGACGGCCTGAATCGATCCCAAACACTGACACTGCACTGTCACTTTAACTCTGAGAAGGGCCAGAAGTCGTATGACGCCCAGTCTGGTGAATACAGCCGACAGAGGCACGCCGTGTTTCTAGAGTCCGAGCCTTTCCGGGAGGGGGTGCTGGACGGCAGCAGTCGCCTCGATTTTTATCAGACCTCATGAAGACGCTCAGGAAAGAGGACCCCAAAGCTGCTTCAGAAAGTGGCAAGAACTATGGCATAAGTATGTTCAAAATGAGCGGGAGGGCTCGGAGGAGGAGTCGCTGTGATGTGTCTTTTCCCGTAACAAAGGTTTTAAAATGTTTCCAACATTCACTGTATTTCTAGTCACCTCCTGAATGTTACTACGCGTAAGGACAGCGTTGGGACAGATGGGGAAGACCACGAGGAAGGCAGGCGGACGGCGGCCTCCCTGCAGGCATCCTGGGGCAGCACTGCCCCGTGGGGTGGGACGGGCAGCTCGCTCTGGCGGGGCCGCGCCCGGACACCTGCCCCCTTCTGTGCTGCGAGGGTAATGCGGTAGCAGCGTCCAGCCCCCAGGCGAGGTTAGACGAAGTGCTCTATGGACAAGCGAGACCAAGTCCCATGTGGCCCCCAGGCCGTGGGGCAGGCCACGCCTGCAGCAATCTCTCGAGGCGCCTGGGATCCTAGCATGCTCGAGGCTGAGGCAGGAGGGCTGCGGGTCTGAGCCCGGCCCACGCAGCTTAGCAACTTAGGGGGGCCCTGTCACAGTGAGACAGAAACAAGTCTGGGGGTGAAGCTCCACGCCAAGCCCTGAGTACGTTCTGCTTGTAGAGGGAGAATGGGGGGAGACTGTTAGCGCAGAGACGGGACACACACGGCTTCCGGCACTTTCTCGGCCTCCGCGTCTCACTCACCACCACCGCGCAGAGGCTGTAGCTGGGGTGCTTCCGGAAGACGGGGCTGACGTAAGGCGTGAGGTCCAGGTTGGCAAGCGGGTAGTGAATGTCGGTTCTCAGCTTCCTTTTCACCTGGCCCTGGATGTCAAACCTGGAGAGGAGAGGCGAGTGGCTCGTGGGAGGAACCCTGACCGCACACCTACGTGGCCTGTGCTTGCAGAAGATTGCTTCTCCCCCACAGTGAAGCCGGGCGGCGGTGCACCCGTCACCCCATCACTGGGGAGCCCGAGGGCAGCAGGAGGCCAGTGGGGGTTACACAGTGACCTACAGCCAGGGGCTCTGTCTTGCCTCCACGCACTGAGATCTTAACGTCTTAAGGCCAAGATTTGGCAAACATCTGCCTCCTACAGGCCCCCCCCAGCGCTGAGGTGTTGATCGATACTGGGCGCGGTGATGTGCGCCTATAATCCCAGCACTTGGGAGGCTGTAAACAGGAGGATCACAGTGAGACCATGTAGACCTTGTCCGAAAATAAAAAATAAAAACTCTGCCCCATCTCAGGTGTGGCCTCAGACTCACTCGGCAGTGTCTTCACAAATTACTGTGCTCCGTTTGGTAAAACACAGGGCGAGGTCTGCCGAGAAGCTACAGCTAGCCCTGGGTCGTGGGGTGAGAAACTGCCACCCAGCGCTCCAACCTCCCGGGAAACCTGCAGCTGGGGTCCACAGCAGTGTCACTCACAGCTGCCGGAACCTGGAGACAGGAAGGTGCATCTCAGGGCAGATTCAAGCCAAGGTGCCTACAGGATGGCCCGCCAGTGCGTAGAACAGCACCCGCCAAGGGCAGAGGCTGGGCTCGAAGGCCCTGTCCTGGAGGGGGCAAAACCCCAGAGGCGCACAGAGCACCTCTGCCAGGGCCAGACGTGTGAGAAAGGACCTTGTTACCTTTTTTTGCTTTGAGATGGGGTCTTGCTACGTAGACCACAGTGACCCTGAGCACGGAATGGCCCTCCAGCCTCAGCCTCTTGAGTGCTGGGATTACAGACATGTGCAGTTTTTATTGGTCCAAGTTTGCAGTACGTAACTGCATCCGTCACAAGGGCCTGCTCCGTGACGGCATGCTGTGCCATCATACAAGGGCACAGCAGATTTTCACGTTCTCCTCCTTCACCTTTCGTCTTCGGATCCTTCACTCATTTGCCAGCCTCTTCCTCCACTCATTGTCCTTCACTTGGCTATTTACACCTTGGCTTTCTCCTCTAGGAGCGGCTGTGCGATATTTAACCTTGAGTCTGATGTATTTCATTTGACATCACGGTCTCAAGATGGATCCATTTCTCTGTAATGCCCAAGGTCATCCTTCTTATAAAATCCTTCAGACAGAACTTTGGTGGGGAACGAAGTGTCCCCATGTTGGTCACAATGCTGCCTCACGGAACACATCTGTCAGCCCAAACCCCATACAATGGAAGTACAGTCCAACTTGTGGACGCTGACACTCACCCTGTCCTAAAGGATGACAGTGAGATGGCTGGACATGCTGTGGATGCAGAGAGGACAGCAGGGTTAAACACTCAGGGCACCGGGCTCAGGAGACCTCGCTTTTACCTCCAGCGGCTGCCAGCTTGTCACAGGGAATAGCACATAAAATGTCCAGTGCGGGGCTGGGAGATAGCTTGGCAGACTAAGCACCTGCCTGGCAAGCGCAAGGACCCACGTTTGTTCCCTGGCACTGCATGCTGCACTGGCTCCGGAACCTCAGGCACGCTGATGCCCGCCTGTAATCTCAGCACTGGGGAGGCTGGAACAGGAGGAGCACTAGGAGTCTGAGCTGTGTAGTGAAACCCTACACCAAATGACTAGATTAAAAAAAAAAAACAACCCACCCTGTGCTGTGGGCTGTGCACCTTTAATTCGTTATGCAGGGCTGCTTTTGCTATTTTGGGTCTCTTGTGGTTTTTTCTCTGTTTTTCTAATTCTGTGAGGAATGTTGTTGACACTTCGGCATCCACTACACGTGTATATCAGTTTTGGAAGCACAGCCCTTTTGACTATCGGCTCGGCCTGTCCAGAACAGGAGCCACCTTTCCATCCTCTGAGGTCCTCGACTCCCTTTTTCAGGGCACTGTACTCTTTGTAGAGGTCTTTTGCTTCTTAATTCCCACGTATTTATTTTTTCTTGATGCTGTTGGCAGTGATGTCTCTAATTTCTGAGCTCAGTATTAGTAGGAATGCTATTTTTTTTTTATTAGTTGTTTTATTTTTTTTAACATTTGTGTGTGTGTGTGTGTGTGTGTGTGTGGCCAGCTCAGCCCACCAGGGGGCGGGGCTGGCTGGCATGTGGTGCTGGGGGATTGAACCGCCGTCCCTGTGCTTTGCCAAGCTTGTTCCAAGTAGATGCTTTAGACCACTGAGCCATCTCTCCAGTCCCAGGAATGCTATTGATTTTTGTCTGATTTTATATCCTGCTACATAACTAAATTTTGTTATTAATTCTAAAACTTGTAGTGGACTTGGGGAGAATCTTCCACGTGCAGGCGCAGGTCATCTGCAAATAGTGACAGCAGCTCTTTTCCTACACATCTTTTTTATTTCTTATCTAGTTATTCTTGCTAATGTTTTGAGGACTGAGAGCAGGAGTGCTGATAGTGGATATGCTTGTCTTCTTCCTGATTTTAGCAAGAAAGCCTTCAGCTTTTCCTCATTTAATATAATGCCAGCAATAGGCTGGTCAGGCACAGCTCTCCTGAGATTGAGGTTCTTCTATATATCTATTTTCTTCAGTGTTTTTAAAAAATTCTGAATGGATATTAGCTTTTGTTAAAGGCTTTTTCTGAGACGATTAAGATATCATGTGATTTTTTTCCTTGTTTAACAAAAGGTTTAATTAAGTTTACTGGCTTATTTTGGGTATACACAACGGTCACACTCACCACAGGGAATGTGTGAATGATATATCCTCATTCTTCTACCCTGCCCGCAGCCCCTTTCCCTCTTGTTTTTTACAGAAGCCTTGTTTCTACTATTCCTTCTTTTTCTTTTCCCCTCCTTTTACTCCTCCCAACTCCCTACGTCCTCATTCCATTTGACTTTGTTTTTCTATTTTATAGTATTATACATTTTGGTACTTGAATTTTTGGTTTCTCAGACCAGAGAGACAATGTGGTATTTACACGTGTCCAATTTATTTCATTTAAGACTGTGGTGCATCCATTTACCTAGAAATGTCTCAAGCTTATCCTTCTTTATGGCTGAATAGTACTCCACTGTATTTTTTAAAAGCCCACATTTCCTTTAGCCATTTGTCCAGTAATGGGCACCTGGGCTGTTTCCAAGATTTAGCCAGCATGAATAGTGCCACTATGGGCAAGGCTGGGCCTACATCACTGGGAAGATACGAAGAGGAAAAACTGGGTCAAATGGAACATCTAGCTTTACTGTGAGATCCCCACAAATCTCCACATTAGTTGCAAGAGGCTCCGCTCCCAACAACAGAAAGCTTCCTTTCCCCACGGCTCCACCGGTATGTGTTGTGGGTCCATTTCTTAATAGCCACTGAGGACGGAATCTCAGCATTGTTTAAATTTGCATCTCTTGGGGCTGGGGAGATGGCTCAGTGGAGTAAGCACTTCCCTGGCAAGCGCAAGGGCCTGAGTTCAATCCCTGGTTCCGCAAAAAAAAATAAATAAATAAAAAATAAATAAATTTGCATCTCTTGAATGACCAGGAATGGGGAACATTTTTTCATATATTTGCCATTCTTACTTCTTCAACTGAGAAGTATCTATTTCAGATGCCCCCTTTTGGTAAAAGATCTTTAAATTGGGGCGGGGATCTGGGGTTTTTTTGTTGTTCTTGTTGTTTTGGTTGTTGCCGTTCATATAATCTAAAGAGTAGTCCTTTGAGGAACAGACAGCAATTTTTCCCCACACTGTGGGTTGTCTTTTCGCTGTACTTGTGCCTTCTCTTGTTGTACAAAAGATTTTTAATAAGATGAGATCACAGGGGTTTTTTTGAGATCACAGTTGTTGATTTGTTGACAATTCCTGTGAAACTGGGACTGGGATTTTGTTCATAACGTTTTTGCCTACTCCAACATCCTCCATCTATTCTATCTTCTAGTAGATGTAGTGTTTCTGTTCTAGTATTTAGAACTTTCGTCCATTTCATTTTTATTTTAGTGCATGGTGAAAGACACAGGTCTAGTTTTAATCTGGAGCGTGTAGAAAGCCAATTTTTCCAGCACTGTTTGTTCAATAGACCTTCTTTCTTCTAGAGAAGCTGTTGGCTCAGTATGTCTACAATGGTTTTTGCATCTTCTACTCTGTTCCACTGCCCCTCGGGCATGTTTTTTGGCCAGTACCATGCTGTTCATCACAGTCCCTTTGGAGTTCAATTTCAGGTCAGGGATCACAACACCCCACACACTGCCTTTGTTGCCCAGAACTACCTTTGCTATTCTAGTTCCAAATGCATTGTAGGACTGTTGTCGCTAATTCTGTGATATGCTGTTGGAATTTTGATCAGGATTGTTATGTATAACAAGTTTGAAAATGTGACTTTTTACTATATGGGTTCTTTCTCTACCCCCAAGCAAGGGATACCTTTCCATTTCCTGGTATCTTCTTTAATCTCCTTTTCCAGAGTACTGTGTGTTCAATGTAGAGGTCTTTTACTTAGATTGCTTCCTAGGTATTTTATATTTTTTGGATGATACTATGAAAGATGCTGTTTCCCCAGTTTCTCTCTCAGTAAGTTTGTCATTTATGTACAGGAAGGGCTTAGAGTTTTGAGTGCTGACTTTGTATCCAGCTACATTATTGAATTTGGGTTTTATTTTTCTGTATTTAAGTCAGGGTCTTAATAGTGGGATCTCACTATGTAGACTGGACTGGTAGTGATTCTCTTGTTTTCAGCCTCCCAAGTGCTGGGATTACAGGCATGCGCCACCACACTCAGTCTCAATCGCTGTCTTAGAGTGACCCAGGGGCGGGGCTGGCACCAGCACAACACACGGGGGATTGAACCCCAGCTGCTGCGCTCTGCCTAGGCAGGCACTGCAGTCTGCTGAGCTATGTGGCTGGCCCTTGAATTTGGGTTTTTTTTTTTTAATTTATTTATTCATTTATTTGTGTGTGTGTGTGTGTGTGGC